AAAATGGTAAAAGAGTTTTACAAAGATTAGCCATGAAATTCTTTCAGATGAGGAAACTTTGTACAAAAGAGGTAAATACCAAGTGTTACTTCGTTGTGTAAATATATTTGAAGCCAAAAGAATTGTTGAAGAGGTGCACATTGATATATGTGGGGCACATGTAAATGGGCATATGATGGTAAGATAGGTTATGTGAGCTAGATATTATTGGTTGACAATGGAAAAAGATTGCATCGATTATGCCCAAATGTGTCATAAATGCCAGATTTATGCTAATAAAATTCATGCTCTGTCCAGTGCTTTATATGTTATAGCACCACTTTGATAATTTTCTATGTGGGGAATGGATGTTATTAGTCTTATCACACCAAAAGCTTTAAATATGAATAGATTTATTTTTGTGATGATTGACTACTTCATCAAATGGGTTGAGGCTACCTCATTGACGACAATGACTAAATCTGTGGTCTGTAAATTTATCAAAAGAGAAATAATTTATAGATATGGGTTTTTAGAAAGAATTATATCAGATAATGCTAAGAATTTGAATAACAAGATGATGCAAGAAGTATGTGCTTAGTTCAAAATCAAATACCATAATTCAACCCCGTATCACCCAAAAATGAATGGTGCAGTGGAAGCCGAAAATAAAACATCAAAAGGATTATGGAAAAGATAACTGAAACATACAGGGACTGGCACGATAAGTTACTTTTTGCCCTACATGCATATCAAACTTTTATGCAAACCTCTACAGGAGCAATTTTTTTTTTTTATTTATGGGATGGAAACTGTATTACCAGTAGAAGTAAAAATCTCATCTCTGAGGGTCCTAATGGAAGTGGGACTAGAAGAAGCTGAATAGATTCAAGAACGCTATGAGCAATTAAACTTTATTAAGGAAAAGAGATAAACAACCTTATGCCATGGCCAATTGTATCAAAGAAGAATGATACGAACTCATGATAGAAAGGTCAGACCTCGATAGTTTCGAGAGAAATAATTGATGTTGAAAAGGATTCTTCCAAGTCATTATGAAAATAGAAGAAAATGGACTTCAAATTGAAAGAGACCTTATGTGGTAAAAAAAATATTTTCTGAAGGAACCTTGATCTTGTCGAAGATGGATAGAGATAAACTCCTTGGCCCATCAACTCTGACGTAAAGAAAAAGTATTTTGCTTGATTTTTCAAAAAAAAAAGTTAAATTAAAAACTTGAAAAGGCGATTTAAACCATAAAAAAAGAGACAGTTTGAACCATACAAAAAAAGGGGAGAAGTTCAAGTCAAAAACTTGAAAGGGCAACTTCAAACCAAAAGAAGGATTAGAACTTTAAAAGGCAACTGGAATTGGCATATCAGAGACAGTAAATTTTGAAAAGCTTCAAAGTATTAGGGCATTGAGTTTTGATCGAGTTTTTGAAAAAATCTAAAATTTGTTATCATGGTTATCTAATCATTTGTCCTGAGGCATTGCCTCCCTAAAATAATCATTCTTGTATAGTTTTTTCCTTCACACCATCATCTGTAATTGATTATCCACATAAATGAAAGCCATCTTATCATTCTCTAAATCTTATACATTATTATTCCTCTTTATGCCTTACCATGAATGGAAGAAATGCATAACTTGCATCATCATAATTTCAAATTGAGATAATGATAAATGATTGAACAAAATCATAAGAAGTGTGTTATTTTGAAGGATTAAAAAAGGTAAAGGCAAAAAATGACCAAAAAAAAAAATTGGCTTTCATAACTTTTTTCAACAGATAGGTGAAAAGGCTCATTTAATAGAAAACACGTCTCTAGGTTGATGGTTCCTCTACATGACTTCAGGCTAATGAAATATGGTTTTTTGCCAAAATGTTCGGGTTGAATAGTTTCTTTATCAAATGCGAAAAAAGATTTCTCTGTTGGAATGCATAATAAAGGTGAACACGTAAGATGATGTTCGATGGTTTCTCTACTAAAAGTGCACAGAAATGTGAATACAAAAGCTTTAGTACCATAATTCATGATTCATCTGCATCGTAGATAAGACATATATTTGCATCATCTCATTCACTTGATCTTAGCTCAGTCCAAATCCTTTTTTTATGATTCATGGTTTTATCCCAATCATTTATTTTTGACCTGACTCGTCCTGATCACTTCATTTGACTTGTGGTTTCGTTTCGATCATCTAACTTAGCTTAGTCCATATCATTCTTCTTGATTCATGGTTCTATCCCGATCATCTATTTTGACCTCAACTCGGTCCTGATCGTTTTATTTTGACTCATAGTTTCATCCCTGTCACCTGATCTTGGCTCAGTTCAGATCGTTTCTTATGATTTGTGGTTCCATCCCGATCATTTATTTATGACCTTAACTCTGTCCTGGTCATTTCATTTGACTCGTGATTTTGTCTCGATCACCTACTCTTGGCTTAGTCCAGATAATTTTTCTTGATTCAAGATTTCATCTTGATCATCTATTTTGACCTTGACTCTATCATAGTCGCTTCATTTGACTCATGGTTTCGTCTCAATCACTTAGTCTTGGCTCAGTCCAGATCATTATTCTTGATTCGTGGTTTCATCCCGATCATCTATTTTGACTTCGACTCCATCCTGATCACTTCATTTGATTCGTGATTTGATCTCGATCTCTTGACCTTGGTTCAATCTAAGTCATTTTTTGAATTTAAGATTGTAGTGGGTGTCTAGGTTTTGCAACATCATTGTCTAACAAATATGTGTAAAGAGGGGCAGCTGTAGACAACCATTTTAGTCTGGGCCCAATCGGGCCCATTCTTATCCAAGCCTAGTTAGACACCCGTTTTGATCCGAGTCCAATTGGACCTATTCTCATTCAGTTTAATTGGACCAATTCTAGTCTAAGCCCAATTGGACCCATTCTAGTTCGGGCCTAATTGGGCCCATCTTAGGCTGAACCCAGCTGGGTTCATTTTGGTCAAAACCGTTCTGCCCATTTAGGTCCAATTAGATTTTATTATTATTATTATTATTATTATTATTATTATTATTATTATTATTATTATCCTTACTTCTTTTTTACTTTCTTTTTCTATTCCATTGTATTATTATTATTATTATTATTATTATTATATTTGTGTTTCTTTTTTCTTTTTTCCCTTCTTTCTTTTTTTGTTCTAATTCACACGTAATAAAATTAGAATCAGAATCCTGTCGAGTCAAACTTTCAATGCCAAATCATATAAGCAGGAGACTGACTGGAATTTTGAACTCGAAAATCTTGCGAGACATAATGTAATCCCAGGATCCAAGCCTGGGATTGATTCTGTCTGTTTCCTGAAATTGCTCTTAAGATCGCCTATAAATTGAACTGATTCTAATACTGAGACACACAAAAACAAAGAGAAAGCAAAGAGAAAATTGCTAAAAAAATTTTAGGAAAATTCTAGCATATGGGGTTTCTGGGATTCAAAAATTGGGACTTTGGTTTTGATTGGAGTTTTGGAGGGATTTTGGGTTCAAGAAGTGATTTTAAAGTAGTAAAAGGTTCTGGGGAGGTTTAGGACTACCTAGGAATTTTTTTAAAATTTTTTGGAATTTTTTTGGGTTTGGGATGAATTTTTTGGCGAAGAATAAATTTTTTGGATAAACTTTTTGGCAATGTTTGAATTTTTTGATGAGATTTCAATGATATTTCAGAATCCAACATGCTTTCTAGAAATCGGTGAGTTCTTAAGTTTTTGACTGAATTTTTCGATAAAATTTCAGAAACCAGTGGGATTTCTAGTTTTCGGTGAAACTTTTTGTTGGGTTTTTAGAGAGAGGTCAGATGATTTTGAAAGGTAGAAAGGGAAAGGTTCTGAGGTTTCTGAGAAAAAATGCTGAAAATTCCCTTTTATACCATTCTAGAACGAAGTCATTTTGCTAAGCTAGGATCCACACGTTGACCCGAGGATTCGCGTACTGACCCGTATCCTGAACCAACCCGGTCCCAAGTTTTTCTTTTTCCATTTTCTTTTTATTTTTTATTTCTATTTTAATTCATTTATTTTTACTTATATTTTATTTCCTTTTTTTTTTAAAAAAGAAATGAACAGAAAAATAAAAAAATATATTTTGTCTTTTTTTAAGAAAAAGGAAACTTTTTCCAAAAAAAAGAAACAAAAAATATATATATATATATAAAATTTATTATCTGGTATATTATAAAAATGAGCAAGACTTTGATAATTCGAAATCAAATTGACACCATCCCTTAGATGGGTGCTATGAGAATGTTACAATCTTTCTTATATGCAATTAACTTTCGAACTTAATCTCTATTTTACAGATCAATTTTAATCAAGTAGTCAATAACACTTAACTAAAAAAAATTGATGACGACTCATTTTCATTTCAAATATAACGATAAATCTATGAATCTATACATTACGACACCCATCACTATTCAATTGTCAATAATAAAATCCTCAATTCAAACAGTAGCTATAATAGAAACGATCTCATCCCCATGTCCACTAGTGCAATAATCTGAATCACCATAGGAAACAAGCAACCTTAGCTATAATGGAGCCTTGTCAACGTTAGAAAGGTAGGCAGTTATCTGGATTGTGTAAAAGTTTACCCAGACAGGATATCAGACAAGGTCCAAGATCAGAATGAACAGCAAGGAGCCAAGCGGCAAGGGAAAATGAATTGAACATGACCGAGTACCAAAGTTGATTAACCATTTAACTTCTAAAAGTTGAACATAGCGTGGTAAAACCGCTAAGGCCAGTTTGGCTACTCATGCACCTATATAGCATGACCTCAATCAACAATAATTAGCAATGATATGATTAAAAAGTACAGAGATGTTATATTATGGATTCTAGAACGTTTGATCACCACTGGTATAGAGGCTTTACTTAAAATTTTCCGTTCTCAAACAGCATATTAAAGCCACTATGAGAATTCAGCCCAGAGCAAGTACATGAAATTATGACAACCGGTAATAATTTCATCCACATATAAAACAAAGTAATGTAAAAATTTCAGGATTTACTTATATAAAATGGTTGTGTAAGTTACAACACTATCATAATTAAGAGGTTAATGAATGGCAATATCCATCGTTACTCCCAACAAAGGAATGGGGATTCCTGTTAACAAGTTTATGGTGCAGTTGGTTTGCTGGCCCCATGCTTACATGGAACTCGTTGGTTTTGATTCTTCAACTCATCTCCAGCCACAAGAAAATATGCAGTGTGCCTGAAAAACACATTATAATGTTTCATGAATTTTAACAAGAATAAAACGACAAACTTTCTCTCACACAAGCAAAGGAAAAAATAAAATATTAGCACAAAAATGAAACAAAAGAAATATGACACCTGAAAAAATTCATCATTTTGTCTTTTGAATCAGCATCAATGTCAGGGGTGCTCTCCAGTGCCTTTTCCATATGATGTAACCATCTCTCTGCAGCTTGATGTGTGACTGGAAATGGTCTATGACGTCCAATCAATGCAGGATGACCTGCAAACGCATCACAGGAAAAGATACGAAGCCCAAAATAAACCCCAGTCCAAGAAATGGTTAATAGAAAGACTAGAGGACACAAGCGTTATTACCAAATGATTAACATCCAGTAAGTCGCAAGAAGAAATCGGATTCTAGCAGCCTGAAACTATATTCTCTCTGATTTATTACCCTAAAGGCAGCCTCAATAGGGATACTTTATCCTTTATCACTCATATCAAGGAAGAATAAGCACAAACCCATTAAAGGGTGTAAGAAAGCCAGCCCGCTCCTAATACTATCAACTACAATTATATAATTGTCCAAAATATAGAAGTAAAATTAAGGCTATTATCCCACAGTAGATGGTCAGCTTTTCTCTTTCTTCACCATAATGTCTCGCAATCAAAATCAAGGACAACATCATGTAACAGCCAAAAGATTTTTTACTGCAATTTGCTAGAATGTTAATTTGAAGTAAGGTAAGTACACAATTTCGTCAAGAAAGATCTGTTATAAAGACCAAACAGGGAAGGTAGACTCTACTTTTGCTCAGTCTAATACTGGTAATTCCAAAACCATTGCTACATCTATTACATGAAAAACACCTAGATACACCATTAAGGAGTTCAACTTACTTCTATTGTTGAATAATTGAATTTCATATTCCGAAATTAGTCTAAAAATCTTTCCTTTCGTTTCAAATTCTTGAACTAATGTTAATCAAAACAAGCCCCAAAACCACCGAATAGATTTGAACAAAAGTTTAAAGCAAAAAAAAAAAAAAGAATATAAACAAACAAATGATTAGGCAATGACAAAATGAAACAAAAGGATGGAAATTTAGCAAACCTTTCCTCTGAGAATAAAGAGGAGGTCCTCCCATCCGTTGCACAAAGAATTCATATTGATTCTGAATGGCCTCTTCTTTCTTGGAATTAGCAAATATTGATCGAAACCACTCTTCTTCTTCATCATCATAAACCCTAATTTCCAAGGCAACCAATCAAAATACAAGATCTTGATTACAAAAAAGGCCCCGTTATGAAGAAAAAAAAAGGATACCTAGTGTAAAAATTGGTGGAGAGGTTGATGAAAGTTTGGAGTCCCAATTTCTGGTACAAATTAGAGTCGTCAATGGCAAAAGCATCGGCAGTATTAACGCCGCTCCACTCAGAAGCCTTTTCCTGCAGTGACTGCATTTCTTTTTTCTTCTGTTTGATGTCCTTGGTCGGAAGTGCAACTGAGGAACCACTGGAGAATCAGTTGAGTTCCCTTGAGCTGTTTTCGACTATATAAAGGCGGTTCGTGGTGGTCGCGTGGTGGGAACGCTCATTATATATGTGTATTTTTTTCTCTGTTGCTTCCTGTTGCAATGAAATCAATCTCCAAATCTGTGGGCTGTGGTCGTTTGGTTCCGTGGGCTGATGGTTTTTGGTTGGGATATTTTATTCTTTTATGAAGCCATTCTGGGCTCATTATGTCGATAAATGGGGAAGCGGTGGACCAATGGAGCAAAGTTGGGAGTTTGATGCGACGCTATTGGTTAACTTTTATATCGAATCTAGAGTTGTATCACGTTTTTCTTGCTTGATAATTACTTCACCAACAGCTGTAAAGATGAGCGCACAATTCGAATTTGATCGAATTGATAAGAAATAAATTTGAATTCGATGTTAATTTTAAATTTAATATTTAAAATTTAGTTTGAATTTGATTAAATTTTATTTTTTAAATTTAATTTAAGAAAAAAATTAAATTAGTTAAATTTATTTGATTAAATTTAATTAACATATAAAAATAAATTTAATTTTTATATTAGATAAAAATTTAATCATTTATATTTAAATTTAAATTTAAAATATTTTATTAATTAAAATATAAAAATTTAATTAAATTCATAAATAACTTAAATCGAATATAAAATATTTAAATTTAATTAAATCAATAAATTAAATACTCAAACTTAAATTTTACTTAATAATAATTAAATTAAATTAAAATTTTATTTAAATTAAATTTAAATAATTTATAAATACTAATATATCATTTATATTTTTATTCACGGCCACAAATTTCAAGCCTTTCGAATGCCTCCAAGACAAAAGAAAGAATATTTTAAACAAGGACGGGTGGATGACGTGTAGAGATTTATTTTGAGCGGATGATGAGATGAATTTAGGTGATATTAATTATTTTAATGGTAATATTGTGGTTTATATTTTGAGATTAAAATTAATAATAGAGTTATGTGTTTATTGATTAAAAATAAAAATATGTATTTAAATTTAAAAATAATAATAAATGTGAGATTGAGTATAATAGTAATTGTTTGATTAAAGATAATTTATTGTTATAATTAAAAAATATCTTTTATTTTCGTTTTACACTAAATCAATACTTGTCTTACGCAAACTAACCTTATAAAATCTGATGATTCATTATACCCTTTCTCTTTAGTGTCCAACTGAAAAAATAATGTAAAAGGATTCATTAGACCTTTCCTCTTCAGTCTTCAACTTAAGAAATAAAGATTAAATATAAAAATGATTAAGTGTTATATTTTTTGTTAATTTGATATATAAAAAAATAAAATTATTAGTTTGATATTTTAATTTTTATTATATTATTATTTTAATACCTTTAACTAACATCATTAATTAATTTATTGATGTGATATGAACATCCAATTTAATATTAAAATATATCAAAAAGTTCACCCAACGTTACATCATAATTTCTTATCAGCATTAAAATAAAATTTTAAAAAAATTTAAAAATTCTAAAAATTTTTAAAAATTTTTCAAAACTTTTGAAATATTTTAAAAAATTATAAAATTAAAAAAATATAATTTTTTTAAGTTAAAAAAATTTTAAAAAAATTTATGAAAACTAAAAAAATTCAAAAAAATTGAAAAAATGAAAATCTTAAGAAAGATAAAATTTTCTTAAAATTAAAAAAATAATTACAAAAACTTAAAAATTGGAAAATTAAAAAATATATATAATTTTTTTGAAAAGTTTCAAAATTAAAAATATATAAAATTTTTTGAAAAAATCTGATAATTTTTTAAAAATTTTGAAAAATTAAAAAATTTCAAAATTCATAAAACATTATAAAAATTATAAAAATTAAAAATTTTGCTGAAAAATAATAATTTAATAATTTAATAAAAATTCAAAAAATACATAAAAAAATTAAAATTGCAAGATTTAAAAAAAATTAGATTTTTAAAATTTTTTACAATTATTTAAAAATTTTTAGATTTTTTTAAAAATTTTAGATTTTTTAATTTTGATATTTTTTTAAAGTTTTTTTAATCTTTTTTTAATTTAAAGAAAATTTTATTTTTATTTAAACTTTTATTTTTTTTTGAAATTTTCAATTTTTTTGAAATTTTCATACTTTTATGGAAATTTTGAGGTATTTTGAACTTTTTAGGTTTTTTTTAATGTTTTTAAATTTTTAAAAAATATTTCAATTTTTTATTTTTTATAAGTTTTTCAAAGTATTTTAGATTTTTAATTTTTAAATTTTTTTTAAATATTGATATAACAATTGATAATGCAATGTTAATTGTATTTTTATAAAACGTATAAATATTTTATTAAATATTTTATTAAATATTTATGTCACATCAAAAAATTAATTGATCACGTTAATATCAAGTACCAAATAAATGCTGAAATAAAAATTAAAATCTCAAACAAATAATTTTATTTTTTTAGATATTAAGGTGATAAAAAATATATAATATAAGAATTATTTTTATATTTAACTTAAAAAATAATGCAACCGATAGCTCCAATTGCAATACTACCTAAATATATCACACAATACAGTTGGAGCAAAAAATAAGAAAAAAAAAAACTTGGATCCGGCGTGCTTGGCTCCCTAAAACTAACATTTTCAATTTGACCAAAACTAAACCCAACCAGTTGACACTCCGAGCCATATGCAGGGGGAGAGAGAGCGAGAGAGCAAGGGAATATAAATGTTAGCATACAATCAACAAACTCGCGCAAAAATAAATAAATCCCCTATTCGTATTTAAAAAAAAAAAAAAAAACACCTAACTGGCTAACCGCTTCTGTCTTAAAAAGGAAGTTTCTCTCTAAAAGATCTCCGATTGCTTTCATCTTGGCAAAAGCTGTAAAATCTCTTGGAAGTTTATAGATTCGGTGTTGCAGATATATGGAGGGATCGATTGCGATAAGTTAACCATGATGATTGAAGTGGAAGAGATGGAGAAGGCGCGAACCAGGATAACCGGCCTCGTCTTCGGTGGGACGGGGCACCATCTGTGCCAGAGGTTGGTTCCTCATATATATATAAAAGAAAAAGAACACTAGGGTTAGAGGCCTTAGGGCAGAGCCGGAGCATAATGGAGAAAGCTAACCTAAAAGGCTAAGGTTGTTTACTTGGGTATGAATAAAAATCTGACCTTTTTGGGGGTGGGAATTGGTTTGTAGGCGCAACGAGCTCCAGTGACGGCTCGGCGTTCGTCGCCCCCCACGAGGGATGATGATCACGAAGGCCATCACGTCTTTAATCTTGGCGAAAATCTCACTCCCAGATGTAATCTTCTTTTTTCCTTTTTACCTTAATTTTCAAATTTTTTCTTTTGAATTTATGATTTAGTTTTTGATTAATGGTTTGCGTAACTTATTTTTTGACAGATAAAATACTTAGTTAGATGGGTGAAGGTTAGCTGGCAAATTGCTCTACTGTGAGATCTTTTAATTTTTTTTTTATTATGGTTGTGGGACATTTCAGCAAAAATTGCTAGTGCTGTGGGCACATTTGGCCGAGCTTTGGATTGTTGGGACTGTCAAACACGAGAGTATGTTGCAATTAAGGTAGTTAGAAGCATACATAAAGAACATGATGCAGCAATGGTTGAAGTATAATGATTGAAGTTGATATACTTCAATATCTGGCTAAGAATGATAAAGGCACCTCATGGTCAGTGTCTTACTAGTTTCAGTTTGTGGATATTGCCTCTCGTCTTATTTGTGCTTACAGACTCTTTTGGTTAGTTCTTGCAGCTGTGTGCAGGTTCGGAATGGGTTTGATAACTGCAATCGCATTTGTGTGGTAAGTATCCAATGAAACTTCTTTTAACTATTTTATGTGTCTTTTCACTCATGCGTTTTCTTTAAGGAAATTATGAATCGGCAGCCTTTTTAAGAGGTTAGCTTAGCATTTTGCTATGAAGAAGTGGCTGAAGTTTTGAATGATGCTTCATTCCTTCTCTGTTTGCTGTGATTCTTTTCAGGAGATTTAGTTGAAATCCTGATATTTATTCTGTAAATGGATGGGGTAGTTGAATTTGTTATGATACCTTGATTATATGTTGTCCTTGTGGACTGCACTCATGTAATTGGAACTAAACAAAAACCTTTCTGTTGATGCATTTTAATGATGTTACCAGGTATTGGAGAAGCTTGGACCAAGTTTATTTGATTTTCTAAAGAGATATAAATACTGCCCATTTCCTGTGGATCTTGTTTGGTAATTTGGACTGCAAGCTTTTGGATTCTGTAGCATGTGTCGTGTGTGGATTGTTCTTGGCTCCTATTTTATCCTCTTTCCTTTTCTAACCAATTAGCCCTTCTGTTTCTTGGTCTATTTTGTTTGTTCAGGGGTAGCATGGGCTGCTTATTGTCTCCCTTTTGTTTAACATCTTTTTCCCATGCTGCTAATATATTTGGCAGATATGCATGATTTACACTTAATTCACACTGACCTGTGTATCTTCTGAATATGTAAGGCTTCCTGGCTGCAAGGTATATGGCCTTTTATAATAGACAATTTATGCCATTTTAGATTTGGTGTGCAAACTTGGTTATGAAAATAAAAAAATGCTTGGAATGGTGCAGATGATAGGACTTCTTTAGATGAAATGCATTTCAGGTGCTTGCCAAAGTCAAGTGCCATTAAGCTGATTGATTTTGGTGGTAATGATTTTGATAATCAGAATCCTAGCTCCATTTTTTCCACAAGGCATTTCAGAGCCCCTGAGATAATTCTAGGTAACCAAGTATTGTGTTGGAAAATGAGAATGTGTTCCATTCCTAGTATGAAAAGCCAATGTGTAGTCTTTCTTCTGTTCTTTTCCTCCCTTTTCAGGAATAGGTAAAAGAAATTCAATTTTGAACGATAAACTTCCAGGTGCTAATTGAGTTTGCGTTTCAAGGAAGGCTATTCGAGTACCACATCATAGAATCTAGGAGCAACAATACTAGAATGACTGATAATGTTGTTTCTCTGAAAATCCTAACTGGAAATTTCATTAGTCCTTCCTTTTCAATATCATGTATTTGATTATGTTTTATTGACTTCAGTTGCTGGTCTGGATCTTTGCTTTGATTTTTTATTTTCTGCTGGTTCCTTTTTACCTTGCTTGTTTCTGTGTATGCTTTAAATTACTTTGACATGCTTCAGTGTGCTATCTGTTGTTT